GTTCTAAATAAGGCTTTGGCTCATAATAATACAAATAATTATTTAGCATTATTTCACTAGTTAAATTACTCATTGTTTCGCGTTTACTTTGAAAAAGGGCGTATCAATATGTCTCGTTTTTTATTTTTTTATGTATCGTAGGACGATTAAAGACTTGTACAATGTCGGAGATCTCTATTTTTGATATAAGGTTGAATGGCAGAAAGGCAGATATCGAGCACTGTTTTATAATTAAATCTTACCCAAGTACTTTCGCTTTCTAGAGCATCTTCAGAGACACTTCGTCAATTGTGGACTATCCTACATTCACAGAATGTTATAAACATAAAATTGTACATAACACTACACTACACAAGAAGAAACAGTTTAAAATTATTTAAAATAGGATAATTAGATAGAAGATAGAGTCATGATAGAATAAAATAAAATGCCCCTGAAGGTGCTCTAGAAAGCGAAAATACTTGGGCAAGATTTAATTTATAAAACTGCTTGATATCTGCTTTTCATTTTGTCATAGTTCTTTATTTTTGACTTCATCTGGAGATGGAATCATCATAAGTAATCTTAAACACAATTTTCAAACTTCCAAAACGTCGTCTTTACACCTGCAAATCACCAGCAGATACACCTCAACGAGTTGTTCGTAACCAAAGAAACTTCACATGTATAAATAAGAGATACAGAAGTTCAGTATTAGCAGTAAAAACATATCCAGGCGCAGATGTACCAACAGATCACAATATTTTAGTAGAAAAAATAAGACAAATTAACAAGAGGACGAATAAGCAAACAGTTACTATTGATAGAGAAAAGATGCTAAATGATACTGTAAAATAATAAATAACTAGTATATTAGAACAATAAATGAAGTTAATATCAAGTAAAGAAGAAAGTACTGACGAAAACTGGACGAGAATTACAGACATCTTAAAGACTATTTAAGAAACAAAATTGAGTGCGCTAAAAGCAAGAAAAAAACAAGGGTGGATAACAGGAGAAATACTGAGACATGGATCGTCATGGCAGGAAATATTGCTTTAAATATTTTTTATTATTGTTGACAGGCCATACGTACATATTTCTGTTTTCACAAATATTGGTGAGTAATATTTCTACTAAATATTGCCGAAAATATGCAATTTTAGTGGCATATCTAAATGCAGCTTAAGAAATATGAATTTATCCTAAAATTAGGTTGGAAAATTTAAAAAATTGTTAGTAATGTAGGGGAACTGAAGTTTGGTAAAATTTTGTGCGTACTGATAGGTAACCAACTATACAGATATCTGAATTCGGTGGTGGTGAACTAAAGATTTTTATAAAAGGCTCTTTATGTTTTTTTCAACATTTGGTACCTTGAATATGGAAAACAGATATGTGTAGGAAGTTGAGTACTTTAAATTTTATTATTGCAAAGTGAAATGTTATTTAAGAGTGCTGTTGAGATGGATTGTGGATAGAATATAATAGAATTAACTTATAACTTAAGTAGAAAAGGCGCTTTATTTTAAAAGCAACGTTTTGTACCTGACAACTGTAAGACGTATGTGTTATAAGTTCGTGAGCATAAATAACTAATTACATAATACATCTTATACAGCCAGCTGCACGAATTTAGTTTCCTTGTGGATTTTTATTTTTCTCTTTAAGTTAGAAAGTTTTTGAGAAAAAATTTGTGGACAATTGAATTTGATACAAATAATATCCAATGTAATTTTCTTTAGGTTGCTAGTTTGCAGTGCGCAAACCCTTTACACCTCTTTTTCCAAGATGGTGACTAAAGGACAAGGATGATGACTTACAAAACTTCAACTTAAGCTTATAATTGCTACTACTCTTAATGCATCAAAAAAATAAAATTGCATCTTGTAAGGCTCAAAAAATGTAACACTTCGATAGACTATATTGAAGTTATGTAATATCAGGTGATTTGTAATATCAGGTCATTGAATTGACAGACTAGGGTCAGAATAGGGTAGCGCACAATTCGAGTGGAGGATAGACTTACTTCAGAGATGCGACCCTGCCCTACGCGAGCCTTGATTCTCTCTCAACTCCTGTGGAGAAAAATCATGTCCTAACCCCATTTCTACCCAATACCTACTATCCTACCAATTTCCCAAACCAACTCACCACCCTCCTGGCAAGCGTGGTATTTAAATGCCAAAACTTCCTCTGCATAAACAGACATTCAAGAAAACGGCCCTCAGTTCTCGGCAGCTCGCTAGCTCCCAACCAAGGTAGCGGTAGGACTCACGGACAGCGGGCAAAGGGTGCAAAGAATCCCCAGGTTGTAGAAGACTACCAAGAACAACGGACCCTGCACATAATTACGTATAGTGTAAGAACCTTATGTAAGGATGAAAAAATGACGGAACTGGAGGAAGAACTCAAACATGTGAAATGGGATATTATAGGAATTAGCGAATGGAGGAATTGGATTAGTAGTACACAAAAATATACAAAGCATTGACTAAATTTTTCCAAAAGTTATGTATATAAATCTAAAACTAAATAAGAGATACAATCTGAAAATAATCCAGGTATACGCTCCTAGCAGCGATTACGAAGTTAAAATTGTTGAAGCCTTCTATGGAGAAATCGAAAGAGCAAAAAAGCAGGAACCGGACAAACAAGAAGTGGCAATCAGAGATTTTGGAATTGGAGTAAGAAACGAAAGAGGCGAAATGCTTACCAACTTTCTACTGAAACACAAACTGTATGCAATGAACACATTTTTTAAGAAGAAACAGAATAGAAAATGGACGTGGGCTAGTCCACACGGAAGAACTAAGAGCGAATATGATTATATAATAACACACAAAAAGCAAATTATATAAGACGTCACTGTACTCAATTAATTATCAGTAGGAAGCGACCACAGACCAGTAAGAGATAAAGTAACGATAATCCTACAAAAAGAAAGAGCTGAGATGATAAACAGTTGCAAACGCATAGTTTGGAATTCACCAAATGATGCAGAAGCATGCATAAAAAATATAGCCGAAACTTTACGGTAAGTATCGACGATCACAATAAATTAATAAAAGACGCGGTTAGAAACACACAACTCAAATTTTGCAAGAAAAATGACACCAAAAGTGAAAAGATTAGACCAGATACAAAAGCTCTCATGGAAATCGACGAAACTTAAGAAAGAACGAAAAGGAAAATAAAGAAGAATTAGAAAATTAAATAAAATAGTTTCAGCTGAAATTAGAAAAGATGTAAGAAGATATAATACTTATGTAATTAATCAAACAGTAGAAGAAAACAAAGGTTTAAAGATAATGAAAAGAAAACTCACAAAGTAAAAAAGAAATATACAAGCTGAGAGATAAAAAACCAAAATTTGTTTAATTTACAAATGTCTGAGAGATAAAGATAAAAAGGCAAGAACAGATAAACACATTCTGAAAATAACCAGAGAGTTTTATAAAGGCCTCTATACCAGCCAAAGACCACAAGACAATTTCTCGACACGGCTAAAGACTCTCATAAATCAGGGATCCGAAATACTTTTGCCCACTACTGTATCAGAAGTAAGAGCAGCTTTAAAGGAAATGAAGAACCATCGATCGCATGGTGGTGATGGACTCGTTATTGCGGCAATAAAAGCAGGAGGAGAAATTCTATTCTAATTAGTATGCGAACTGTTTAATTAATGCTTACATGCGGGTACGATTCCAAAAGACAGTTTAGTTTTGTTAAACAGGAAAGGCGATATTAATAAATTAGAAAATTATAAATCCATTAGCCCCTTGACACATATGTACAAACTCTTTATGAAAATCTAAACAAAGAGACTAAACAACTAAACTTGATTTCTACCAGCCCAAAAAAAGGGCAGCCTTCAGGGCAGGATATAGCACAAATGACCAATTGCATACTATAAAGATCTTAATAGAAAAGTGCATCGAGTACAACGTACCACCGGTTCTTGCATTTGTCGATTACGAGAAGGCTTTTAATTCTGTTGAGTTTAAAACAACTGGAAGCTACTAAAAGTACTATAAGCCCTAAATTAAAGCGGAATAGATTACAGGTACACGACGCTAATCAAAAACATCTACGAGAACGCTACATCAAGTATACGACTACACGAAGACACAGACAAATTCAGCTTAGGTCAAGGAATTAGACAAGGAGACAATATTTCACCAAAATTGTTCACGGCAGCTCTAGAGTTAATATTTAAGAACACTCACTGGCAAGATATAGGCATCAATATAAATAAAGAGAAAGATTAAATCATCTAAGGTTTGCAGATGACGTTGTATTAATCGCAGATAACTTACAGGATACAGTTTCTATGATACATTCACTTAAAAGTCTGTCTGAAAGAGGAGAATTAAAGATAAACTTTGAGAAAACTAAACTTATGACAAATCACGTAATGAGTGAAAATATAACTGTTGACAATAATATCATACAACAAACAGACACTTACAAATATTTCGGACACGAGATTATAATAATAAGAGACAATGAAACACATAAAATAGAGAGGCGAGTAGGCTTGACATGGGTAGCATTTGGCAAATTGAGCCATATTCTAAAAAGTTCAATTCTCATGTGTCTCAAGCGAAAGGTTTATAACCAATGTGTTTTGTCTGTACACAATCAATGTCCAGCAGTGGACGCAATTGGCTGAATAATGATGATGACATCTAGGTAAAAAATTTAAGTAAAATAAAAAATTTTAACAAGTTAAATTAATGTTTTTCTGTTCCATCTCTCTATTTCAAAATATATTGGTCTTATAATGCCAAATACTATAATTATAACTAAAATTAATATAAGTAATACCTCCCAAATATATATTCATAATCCACAGCATAATCACCTAACATTTGTGAGAATTAAACTTTAAAATGTGGGGAAACTTAAAAATGTGTATCCACATATTGACAGTTATTTAACAATTGAAAAAAATCTTAAAAATTATAATTATTAAATAAAACATTCTTAGTAGAATATAAAAATGTAAGAATACATACCACCCGTAACAAATTTTTTAAAGTTGTTCTGAAAACCATTAGCTAATTCTAGAAACTTCTCTGGTTGGTTCTGTTTAAAGGCTAAACAAGCTCCATGGTACTTTCCGTATGTTTTAAATACAGCTTCGTACATTTTATACCCTACGAATTCTTTTTTAGGATGCAAAGTAAAATTCCTAAACTTCAGGTTTTCCAATATTAACTTTTCTTTTCCTTTCTCTAGACATGAAGCCAGACATTTGGGAGCATGGGTAAAAATTTCGGCTCCGGGATAGGTTCTCTGAAATTCTTGCAAAGCTGGGAGGAACTTCTCGTAGAAATGAATTTCATTTATGAAAGTTGATGACATGAAATTTATAGTAGTCTCTACGGAACTACCAAGTACCTGTTTGACTACTACATTTTCAGTTTTGTTGGTACTTTTGTTAGTTAATGTTATAAAAAGAACTTCTCCTAAATAACCCTCTCCTGTACCATTGCCCTCTACCTGGATGTCAAAACTTTCGATTTTTTCATTTAAAGCACTTTCTAATAAATCACTAAGGTCTTTTGATAGTACCTGTGTCATTTTTCTCACACTTTGCAACCTATTTACACTTTATTATTTTATATGTTGGACTTTCTATATATTTGATATAAAACTGTGATAGGTACTTATCTTTTTACATGATAAGTTATCTTCGTTAATCTAAAATTGGTAAAGCGATAAATCCAGGTGAAGCTATTATTGTTTTAATTCAATTAACATAGTTTAAACTTAATTAAGGTCAAAATATTAAACAAGACAATATATGAGATAAATATTTAACACAAAACTAGAATAAACTGAACGTAGCGGTTAATAAAGATAATATTTGAATTGTGCATTAAGATAAACTATTTTTTTCCATTTAGTGAGTAACTGCAAGCAACATAAGGTCAAGAAGAGATAAATCTAATCATCAACAAACATATTGTTTATGCCTGGATTATACGAGGCTAGTTTTTCATGCTAGGATAGTTTTCATGCCAGGATAGTAAGCTGGATATACCGGAATTCTAGCCTGAGTTACTGTCCTAGCTTGACGCATGCTAGAACGGTTTACATATGACTAGGAAATTTTTAGCAGTAGCTGGTAGTGATTTAGTAGCGAGATCAATATTCACTGAAAATGGTAAATATTTCTAAAAATTAATGTTTGACTGAAACAATTACTTTTAAAACTTTAAAACTGTGTCAACTTGCGTTGGATGAATTAACGGTATATATATATATATATAATATATATATATATATATATATATATATATATATATATATATATATATATATATATATATATAAGCGGGGATCCTAGAGCTTCTGCCGCTTCCCGCATTTCGATCGCCACCTTTTTCTATCTCTCTAGGTGTCCTAATCAATGGCTCTGTCTTTCATGTTTTCCATAACACCTTATATCCAAGACTTTGCTGGTCTTCCTCGTTTCATTCTATTACTTTTATTGTATTTCATAGCTCTTTTTGTAGATCTGTTGTCGTCCATCCTCTGTACGTGTCCATACCATATTAACTGTCTAGTTTCTATTCTTTCAGAAGTTGTATGTACTCTATCTGTTTTTCTTCTAATTTCAGAATTAGATATATGTTCTACTCTTGATATACAACAAGCTCTTCTCAGGTAGTCCGTTTCAACCGTGTCAACTTTTTTCTCTTCTTTTACTGTCATTTGCCAACATTCTGCTCCATATGTAAGAATGGGCTTTACAATTACTTTGTAGATAGTCATTTTACTTCTCATAGTAGCTTTGTTGGACCAAAGTATCGAATTCAGAATTTAAATACTCTTCCTGCCTTGTTGCACTCTATAGTCTATATCTCGTTCCGTTGTTCCTTTACTGCAGATAATACTTCCCAAATATTTCTATTCGTAGCACAATTTCATTTCTCTAATTTCCAAATCTGGGTTTTCGTCTTTACTGCCTATTCGCACATATTCTATTTTTGACATATTCATACCCATCCCCCATTTTTCGTATTCATCTTTGAGCTTTTTAAGCATATAATCTGCATCTTCTTCACAGCTTGCAATTAGTACTTGATTATCTGCAAAGAACAACGTTGTCAGATAATGGTTGTTAAGCTTCAACCCCATTCCCGCACATTTTTGTCTCCATTGGTGCAGTGCTTCTTGGATATATACTTTGATAGGGTGGGGGAAAGACAGCATCCTTGTCTTAAGCTACTAGTTACTGTAAATACCCTTGAGAAAGTATTTCCTGTTTTTACAGTGCTATGAGGACATTGATAGATGTTCAGTATTGCTATTAGATATGTTTTACTAAGGTCCATTTTCGTCAAGAAACTAAATAAGATATTTAAAGGAACTGTATCGTAAGCCTTCTCCAGATCTATAAATACCAGATGCGTAGGGAGGTTTCGAGCTGTTCTTTTTTTAATTACTTGTTGAAGGGTAAATGTGTTGTCCACGCACGATTTTCCTGCTCTGAAGCCGCTTTGAATTAACATTAACTTTATTGAATAAATGCGTTTGGACAAGACCGTGGATTTTAAAAACGAATAGACGTGGATTATTTGCACTGGATTTTGGATGAAATTCGCAATCAAGACTTAAAAGAGTATATTCGACGTGTATTCGACGAATTATGTCAGAAGTGTTTGATTTTCTATTAAGTCTTATATTGCCAAAAATGCAACGACAGCATACTATTATAAGAAAATCGTTAACAACAACAGTCAAGTTGGATATCACTTTAGATTTTCTGTCATGTGGCATTAGTTACAGAAGACACTTTTGTCGGGTTTCAAGGTATTCCATCTCTAAATGCTTACCAGAGGTAAGAAGGAAGAAATCTTCCAAGCATTGGAATAAAACATAAAAGTTAGTACTTATAATAACTTATTTGTACTTATCACAAAATTACAACTAAAATAATAAAAAAACTATGCATTGCGGAATGCTAAAGCAATAGGATTCTCATTGTACTGGCATCAAAAATCTAAATTAATCTCGTCGATTGGATTTGGCCGTTGATAATTATTAGCGTTATTGTGTACTGTGTTTGTGTAATTATTGACAAATCCGACTCTCTTGATGTAAGTGGCAATGATACAGTATTAATTGTTGTGTGTGAATATGAAGAGCAATGACTACTAGACATCTGGTACGTAAATGTGGTGTTTACGCAGTTCGGATCCTCCATGTGAGACGAAGATAATATGGAATTAATTTTGTTCATAGCCATAATAGCTCGTGCAGTAGATAACAATTTCAGTTAGCTACTCACTAGTGGGTGGTGAAGTGAGTGCTTCGACGGGCCCAGAACCGCTTTTAGCAAGCATATCTGGCCCGTCAGCCTTACTCTTAACTTCCCTCTGGCACTTTTCGCGTGCATTACATGGATCTGACGGCCTCCCGGCCTCCCTTACCCGCATAAGGCCCGGGCGAGACTGGCCGGGTCAGTAAAGCTACCGTCCTGCTCAATCCTTATGCCGGCGAGACAGCCTGATTGCCTTCCCCCCTTCCACATTGGAACTAACGAGTAGAACCAGTTGGCAGTTAAAAGTAATGAAGATAAAATAAAAATAAAAAATAGTTTAAATTGGTATAGATAAAATATAGTAAAAACGAAAGTAACTTAAATAAATAAAATACAATAAAATATATATAATATCTATATAATATATCTATATAAAGTAAATAAATAACAAACATTTAAAAAAAAAAACGATAAATAAATATAGCGGTCAGTTCACCTGCAGCCGCCTCTCTTTCTCTTCCTTGTGCTTTATGGTTTTTGTGAGAAAAAGCAATGATCAGTTCGAAATCGTGCTTGCTGTCGCTGGCTTTATCGATCAGCTCGTGAGGCTCGCGTAGTGGAGATCCCAGGCTCAGCTGCAGTTCGTTTCGCCCCGTATGGTATGCAGAGCAGTCGAACACAACATGCCGCGCATATTCCACCACTCCACCTTCAGGACATAGTTCGTCTCCAGACCTTTCGATTCTATGGATGTATTTTCGAAACGATCCGTGTCCGGTCAGAAACTGCGTGAAGTAGTAGTTGACGCTCCGATGCCGACACCCATACCACCTCACTACATCCGTGACCAGGGACCTCGTCCAGGCCGCCTTTTCGACTTCGGTTGCCCATTCCCATTCCCCTAGCTTGCTATCCTAGCTTCAAAAACCAGCCTCGTGTAATCTGGGCATTATTTGAAAGAAGCTTAATAAAAACGAATGAACACAATAGTTTTAAAAGATAACAATAATATACTAAATGCAAAAAAGAGAACTTAAAATTAAATATTTTATTTTATCTCCAAGAATCCCTCTACAAAATATGATATTCCAGCAAACTAGTCATGAAAAATCTTTAAAAAAGCTAGTGATCTAGATCGACATTAATTAAATAGTCTTTATCTATTCTTTTGGTATATTAAAAATGTCATAAGATTATTTGATATTTTTAATATAACAAATGAAATTAAAACTTTTTGGATGACTAACGACCCCTTCAGCATATAGGAGGACATTATTTCCGAAAATTATGTTTTAGGAACACACCTCTGAAACAAAACCACTGAAAATGACAAAGAATAGGGAAATCACGGTAGATATGAGCGATTTCAATGCAAAAGTCGGCAAAAGAAGAGCTGGAACAGTAATGGGAGACCTAGGACTAGGAGAACGTAACGATAGAGGCGATGGTCTAATACAATTCTGCCAAGAACAAAGTCTAACAATCACAAACACGTTTTATAAGTTACCAATGAGACGGTTACATACATGGCGCTCACTAGCAGATAAACCGGAAAAAGTTGTAAGTAACCAAATCGACTATATAATGATTAAAGAGAGATATCGTAACACCATCAAATCAGTTAAAACATATCCAGGAGCAGATGTCGCATCAGATCATAACCCACTAATCGCTAATATCACGCTTAAGCTTAAACGTATTAGAAAACCACAAAGAATTTCAAAATTAGATGTTAGAAAACTAAAAGCAGATGATATAAAAATCAAACTTCACCAAAAAAATATACAAAAACTTTGATAAATTAGATACTAACACTTACAAGATAAACGAACAATGGGAAACACTAAAAAACTGTTTCCTCGCTCCATGCAAAGAGATAATAAAAGAACCGATACAAAAGAAAGACAATGGGATGACCGATGAGATACTCGGCATGATGGAATAACGAAGACAAGCCAAGAACAAAGACAGTCACAATTACAAAATCATTAACAATGAAATCAGAAAAAAAATAAGAGAGACAAAACAAACTTACTACGAGGAAGAATGTAAAGAGATAGAGGATCTTCAGAACAAATACGACCTATTCAACATACATAAAAAGGTTAAAGAAATGGCAGGGCTGCAAAAAAGAAACCCTAACACAATTCTTTTAGATAAAAATGGAAATACTATGATAACAACTGACGAAAAACTAAAACGATGGGAGGAGTATATGGAAGAGCTCTTCGACGACGAAAGAGGACACCTACAAGACTTGTCTTTTGAGGACAGAGAAACAAGGGTAGAAATTACAAAGGAAGAAGTGCTG